AGGGTTCACCCACCTCCAGCACATCTGCAGTCCAGACTCCTCATAAGACAACGGTCAGCGCTGAGGCAACAAGACATCGCCCCCAAACCTGCCCCAGGGAAGGCAAGGGGGGCAGGGCAGCCAGCGTCCTGCTGCTATAAAAGGTTGTTAACACGCTGTGAAGCACGGGCCGCAAACACAGGGCTCGGGCCCACTGCATCCGAGTCGCCCCTTGTACCGCTGCACCTGCCCTTAACCTTGGGATACATCATGCTCCTGCCGTGCAGGATGACACCACGCTTGGCCTTCCAACTGTGCAACCTTCGTCTCTAAACTCATCGAATGCACCAGTTGCAACCATCTTGTCGAGTCCCTCTCCCATTTCCAACCTAGAGAGGATTGTAAGGGGCTACATGGTCATTGAGTCCAGTGCCCTGCCCCTGCAGGCGGCTGTGTAAGAGGCTAAGTCCGTGGGATCGACAAGAACATCCATCCGCCCTGTTCAGCACCAGCCACCAAGCTGAGCTCCACTGATGACCTCTTCGCAGACAGGGCTCAGGACAAGTGCTCCATCCTCGTCTTTCTTGAAATCTTGTCCTTGTTCTCTTCTGCCTCTACATCTCCCTGGTTATTTCAGCTACAGACACACATTCGGTGTAGACAACTTGCAGATCTGCCTTTGTCTCTGATGCACCAAATGGGAACGGAGGGTCTCTTTTGCTGGGATGTCTCCAAAACAAACCTGACAGTAATAAGGCTAGTGATGGGCTGAGCTGACCGTTATTATCTCATTGTTTCCTTGCCTCCCCTGTCTGTCTTGGATTCTGTTGTCTCTTGTCCTACTTTTAGGTTGTAAGGTGGCTGAGGCAAAGCCCTTTTATACCCTATTGGTACAGCGCTGAGCACAGCTAGGTCCTGATCCCATCTAGGACTCCTGAGGTGATGTTGTAATACTTTACCATGCTGCCCTGTAAAAGCTCTGCTGAATCCACATCCTGTGAATCACAGCAGGAACGCTCCTCCTCTCCCATGCTGATGGCATTATTTCTTGCTCTGCCAGTTGCAGACAGGCTCTTTCTAATGGATGTTGTAGCCCTCGCATGTGGCTGAGGACAGATGTGCTTCTGAGTCATGGAGACAAGAGGTGCAGCCAGAACAAATGGGAGGCAGGGCAGTGAAAAAAGCCCAGACATGGAGAAACAACCTCTGTCCCTAACGCATGCCCCCCACCTAGAGATGAGAGGAAGGCCAGTTTGCTCATCACAGTGCAGCAGGGCTGGGCCCCAGCTTCAGTGTGATCCAGTGGCTTGGATAGGTTGGTAGGCAATGCCAAGAGTCCCAGGAACAACTGCCATTTATCTTATTTGCAGGTGGCTGGTCTGGGAAACCATGGGCTGCAAGGGACCCGCCACAATGTGGGGATGGCTGTGCTCGCTCAGCTGGCACAGAAGCTCAATGTCACGGACCAGTGGCGAGCAGACAGACGGTGCTGTGCAGACGTAGCTGTTGCCAACCTGGAGGAGCTGGACGTGGTGCTGTTGAAACCACGGAGACTCATGAATGTTAATGGACTTAGTATAGCCAACGCTGGTGAGTGGCTTGATGATTTCTCCGGGTGGGTGGCAGGAGGGGCCCACAGCCGTGGTCTTCAGGAGAACTTCAGGCTTCCCCTCTCATCTGCTTGGCAACAGGGACCCACTTACTGCCCCAAACAGCAAATCCTAAGTACCTGCCCTGGGTTTCACAGAGCAAGCCCAGCCCTGGGCAGTTCAAACACTTCCTCTCACATGGACAAGGCAGCTACTCAGGACTAGATTTAGACAGACTACAGAAGTGGGCAGATGAGAACAGGATGGGGTTCAACATAGACAAATGCAGGGTGCTGCACCTTGGGAGAAGGAGTCCACAGCACACATACGGGCTGGGGAATTCCCTTCTTGAAAGCACAGAGGCGGAAAGGGATCTTGGAGTCGTTATTGACTTCAAGATGAACATGAGCCGCCAATGCCAGAGCACAGCCAGCAAGGCCAGCCATACCTTGTCATGCATCCAAAGGTGCATCTCAAGCCGGTCCAGAGAGGTGATACTCCCCCTCTATGCAACTTTGGTCAGGCCGCAGTTGGAGTACTGCGTCCAGTGCTGGGCAATGCACTTCAAAAGGGATGCGGCCAGCCTGGAGAGGGTTCAGAGGAGGGCCACCCGCTTGGTGAGAGGGCAGCAGGATGGGCCCTACGAGGAGAGACTGAAAGACCTGAACTTGTTCAGCCTCAGCAAGAGGAGGCTGAGGGGGGACCTGGTGGCTGCCTACAAGCTCATCAGGGGGGATCAACAGCAAATAGGTAGAGCCCTTTTCTCCCCAGCACCACCTGGGGTGACAAGGAACAAGGGTCATAAGCTGATGGAGAATAGGTTTAGGTTAGAGATCAGAAGGCAATATTTTACAGTTAGGGTGACCAAAATCCGGAACCAGCTTCCCAGGGAAGTGCCGGTGGCAGGGGGTCAGGCTAGATGATCTGTTCAGGTCCCTCCTGACCCTAGCTACTATGAAACTATGACTTCCTTGCTGCCCCTGGCTCCTGGGGCAGAGTGACAGAAGAAACAGAGCCCAAGTCTTCCTGATGCAAAAGCTCAATGCTCTGTAAGCTAAAGGAGAATCCCTGCTATTAGTACAATTTAGGGTCTGTGACACAGAGTGGATTCAGCCCAGTCAGGAGCAGGGCACACATTAGCCAGCCCTTCTCATCTCCAGAAGCAATTGCAGACCATAGTGTTCTCGCACCACCTTGGGAGGTGGGTGAGGTCAGCTGAGTATGCCCCACATGGGTTCTTGTGACAGGCTTTCGGGAAGGAGGATGCAAAGGCTTTGCACAGACACCAAAGATCTCAGCATGATTCTCAGGAGTAGGCAGGTTTCCCTGGTGTCTCAAGCAGCTCCCATCTTCCCCTGCTGCACCCAGTTGTGCTTCAGTGGCACTGGCTGTCAGCTGCTTGGGGCCTGGACATACTAGACTCACTGTGCAGCCGTATCCTGTGGTCCAGACGCCAGGCGGCTCCAGCATGAGCCTGTGCACTCCAGCTGCCAGCATTCCCTGAGGCCAACAGATTTCGAACCCCTGATAAACCCTTCCTGCTTTCTGCCCCTTGCTACATCTCTGACAGTGCTTGTGGCATGCTCAGGGAGAGGCATTTCCCCTCACTCTTTGTTTCTGTTTCAAGCTGAGACATACAAAGTGGGCATTGAAGACATCTACCTGGTTCACGATGACGTGGACAAGCCACTGGGGAAGATAGCAATGAAGCTGGGAGGCAGCGCAAGGTACAAAGGGGAAGCCGTGGCACAGTCCAGTGACTGGAGATGGGCATTGGGGGCTGGGAAAGCCCCTTCCCCCTGGCTGTGTGGGTGAGAAAGGGACAGGGACAGAACCTTTGAGCTGCCACTGCTTAAGCAAAGCTTACAGCCCCATGGGACGCAGGCTTGCCTGCCGCCTCCAGCCAAACCGCTGGTTAATTGGAGACATCATGACGGCCTGGCACGGATGAGTGACATTATGTCCTGCATCTGTGCAGTGGATTGAACCAAAAGATCCACTAGGTCCCTCCCAATTCCTTGCTCTAGGAGTAGCTCCGTCAGCAACTCCTTGTGTGCTGGGGACTACGTCTCTGGATGGGCTGGAAATAGCTGCTCTCTGACAGCCAGCAGCTTGCTCAAATGCAGAGTGACTGCTGGGCAAGACAGCCAGCTGTCCCCGTGCCCCACACACACCCATTGAGTCAGAATGGTGTGCAAAACATTTGGCACCAGGTGTGTGCCCAGAGGGGAGGGGGCAGCACCAGGTTCACTAACCTGGCTTAGAGTCACCACTTAGTTAAACCAGGGTACTTTGTGCAGACCAGCCCAGGTCTAGGAGCAGGGTTCAGTTGTTCCCTTGGTGCCTCAGGCCCCCATGTGGGTTCTCATCTTCTGCTGACCCTGCTTAATCTCTTATTGTCCTTAGGGGGCACAATGGAGTCCGCTCCTGCATCAGTGCCCTGCACTCAGATGTAAGTACGCCTCTCTCTGCAAGACCTCACTTACACCTCCCAGCCGTGGCCCACTTCACCATGGCCCCTGGAGACAGGCCTCAGCCGCGCCTCACTTCACGGCTTCCCTCTCCTTCCCCTCCCTGCCCTGCCCTGCCCCAGGCCAGCAGCAGTCTCCCTTCCTTCTCGTTTCTGCCTCACCCACTAGCTGAGGAACATGGAGGCAATTAGCTAAGTGGAACCGGCTGGCCTGGCCAGGAGCCCTGGGGCACCGGCTCAGCTGTACTGGAGAACCAGGCTCTTTCCAAGCATATGTTTGTTGGAGCATGGCCTGGATGCAGCCACATCACAGGGTAATGGAGTGAGACGGGGTCCCCACTCTCCCTCTCTTGCTGATCTGTGGGAGCAACCCTGTAGTGAAGCCCCCAAGATCCCCTTCCAATCCACAGAGCTGCTCACCACTCCCAGAGTCCCCTTCTTTTGCTGGGCCCTGGCTAATAAGGTCCCTGACACTGAAGTTTTGGCCTAACATCACACAAGCCTCCGGCATCTGTTTCTGCTTTGGGTCAGGAGCACATGCTTCAGGCTCTGCCCGGCACACGGTGCTCCAGCAGCTGCCACGCTGTACAGTGGGAACAGCTCAGCCAAAGGCCCCAGTCCCAGCATGGGGGAGCGAGGAGCAGCCCTGTCCCCCTGCTCACAGATCTCATCTTCCCCACAGCGCATGGTCCGGCTCCGGGTGGGCATCGGCCGCCCTGTGGGAGAAGCTATGGTGGATCACTTCGTTCTGGGCAGGTTCACCACTGCTGAGCAAGAGGTCCTGCCACGGGTCCTGGAGCAGGCAGTCAGCCTGCTGTTGGAGCACATCCTGCGGGGCAGCAGGGGCACCAAGGCAGCCCTGGCACCAGACAGGGGCCAGGGCTCTGCCAGTGACAAGGGCGACCAGGGTTGAGCCTTCAATTACTAGGGCACTTTCATGAATGTGGTGGCAACAGAAAGCAGTGGTTCTGGGCTCTTTAAGGGGTTACTAGGCACCATGGCTTGCACTAGCTTGGGCGGTGTCCTGGAGCTAAGCAGAGAGCACTGATCCTACAAGCAGGGCTGTGTACAGCACTGCTCCAGTAATAGGATGTGGGGGGAGGACAGTCAGGCAGGAGCTCTCCTTGCACACCCGAGTCAGCATTGAGCTCTTCTACCTGCAAAGGCAGCTCTTACAGGGAGCCAGACTTTCTCTCTCTGCAGGGAGCAAGACCCCTTGACCCCAGACAGGCTCTGCGCATGACCTCAGCTGATGGTTCATGGGGCACCTGCCTCCTCACCCTGCCTAGGGCTGGCATGGCCTAGCTGCCCCTTTCCCTCCACACAGAGTACATGCAGGCCCCCTGTTGAGCCAGGTGGGCCCCAGCCGCTCACATTTATCCTTCACTCTCATTCAACTGTCTTGACAGCATTTTCATAGAACAGTTTTGCACTAATTGGAAAATAAACCCACGTGCCCTCTACCCCCCCACATGTCTGTCCTCAATCCTGCTCCTTTGCTCAGGCCACCCAGCAGAACAGCAGTTGGCTGGCAGGAAAGGTGTCTGTCCCCGCAGGCTTCCTGTAGGGCCCAGCCTCTGCTGTCAGGAGGATTTAGCCACTACCTTGGGCAGGGTGGTTGGCTGCTTCCCTTGCGTCTCCTCTGGCCAGGAAGTCACGAGTCGCTGTGGGAAAAGTGAGAGCAGTTCAAACACAGCCCCCCTCTGCCGCCTCCCAGCAGGGGCAGGACAGGGCTCTTTGGGCCTGTAATGCACTCCCCCACCCACCCCCAGGCTCCTTAGGTCCAAGCTGAAGGGATCTGTTTGGATCAGGAGAGGGGATGGGTCAGTCTAAGGCAGGGGTTCTCAAACTGTGCAACTTAAAAGGGGGTCGCAAACTTTTCCAGCACTTCGCGCTGCTTCCACATGCTATGGATCCTTCCACCGGCGCTTCTACCAGTACTTCCACTTTCACCGCTGCCTGCTTGTCAATTCCCCCAACTCCTGCCAATCAGCCACTGGGGACCCCGCTGCCCTCCTGCTTATCAACTGGCCAACAGGGACCTCCCCCCATTCAATCAGCCACTGCGGCACCCCCCACTCCTGCTCACTGACTGGCCACCTGCTCCCTGCTTCTCGATTGGCCACCGGGGGTACACTGACCAAAAAAGGTTGAAAACCCCTGGTTTTAATCAACAGCTTTAATTAGGGGGGGGGGGGGCATGTAAATGTCTATATTATTTTATGGGGTCGTGGTATCACCAAGTTTGAGAACCTCTGGTCTAGGGGCTGCATAGAGCCTACCCAGCCCTCCCTCAAGACTCTGCTTCTAACCTCTGAGAAGAACCTTGCCTGGCCTCAGCCCTGCCCAGGCCCATACCCTGCTGCCCTGAACCTGGCCTCACCTCTGGGCTGCTGCTGTAGGCACGGAGGGTCCTGAAGTAGGTGGTCTCGGGCAGCAGGCCTAGCTGGCTCATGTTGGGCATGCTGTGGCACAGCTGCGGCACATGCCCCTGCCACATAATCGAGTGGTGAGACAGCACACGGGAAGCCTTCACATGCAGGGCTGGGGGCAGCTGGCTGGACCTGAGGAGGGAGAGGGGCTGGGTTAGACCACGTGATAGGGGGGAAGGGAATGGCAGGGCAAGGCCTCCAAAGACCTGATGGCCAAGGACCTGCTTTGGAGGGAGCAGAGGAGGATGGCAGGCCCTGGCGGAAGCCAGGAAATAACCTAAGGGCAGACAGGCAAAGCGCAGGGTCAGGAATCAGGAAGCAAAGTGAGCTGGAGCCAACTCAAGCCAGGGAGATTCTCCTGGCTGCCCTGCATCCCCAGTAAGAACGTGGGTGGTGTGGCTGGGGCGGGGAGCTGCCAGCTGGGAGTAGTCTTCACATGCAGGGCAGAGAGAAGACAAAAAAAGCAGACACTCTGCCTCCCTGCTCCACCTTGCAAGGCTGTGACAGCTCCTGGTTCATGGACCTGCCCCTCCAGGGCACTGGACCTGGGAGCAACATGGAGATGGCCTGGACAAGGAACAGAGCTTCTTCCTGCGTTGCCCCTGCAGCCCAGCCCTCTCGGCACAGGCCCCCCAGCCCCAAATACCGCTCCAACTGGCGCTCCCTGCTGGCCATTCTCAGTGGTGGCAACTCCTGCTCCGGAAGCCTCTGCTCCCCCCGAACTGCCTGCTGCACCAGGGCCAGCAGACTCTGCAGCTTCTCCTTGCGCCGCAGCTGGAATATGACATCAAACTCGCCTTCCTCCTCATCAACCGGCTTCTCCTGTAGGCCACACAGAAGGAGGAGATTGATGGAGCTGGGGGGGAACCAGCACAAGAGCCCACCTGTGGGCTGGGGCTGCTCACCTCCCCAGAGGTAAGGAAGCACCTGGCTCAGTCCTACCACTGCAGCCCTTGTGAGCACCCCAAAGCTCCCCAGTGGCCTCTGTGGGAGACCAGGACCTTGGATGCTCCATGGCTCCTCAGTTCTCTGTGGAGTTTGTGGGACAGTGAGCTGGCCCCATGGGGTCTGGGCTGGGCTCAGACACTTCCTGGCCCTATGCTGTTCTTCACCACAGGAGGGTTTTGCCCTTCAGAGCCTTAGTTTGGAACATGCTCTAAGCCCCTCTGAACACACCAATCAAGTCCCAGACCCTGGGAGGACAGAGTGACATCACAGGTGAAGAAGCGGAGGCACAGAGTAGAGCAGCAGCTTGCCTGGCGCCACACCGGGAGGCATTGGGAAAGCTGGGACAAAGCCAGGAGTGCCAGTGCCGAGCCCCTGCAGACACCACTGCCCCCTGCTAGTTCCCACATCTCTGACCTTGATGCACCTGGTACAGGGAACACTGGGCTCTCCCTCCCTTCATGCCTGGCATCCTCATAAGCCTGGGGGCAGTGGGAGCCTCACCAGCAGCAGCTCTTTCAGGACATACACCACCCGAGCCAGGACGCTTTTTGCCTTCTTCCTCTGCTTCTGCTCCTCTTCCAGGAGCCTGGCCTGACTCTGCCCTTCTGCCACCCTCCTCCTTGCCTCCTCCTCCAGCTCCTGCAACCTCTCTCTGTGGGGTGGAGACAAGAAGAGAATGCCAAGGTCTCAGGATGTTGATGCCTGCTTGGCCTGGAGTGTAGGTGCCCTGGTGCCCATATGTCTAAGCTGGTTCACAGACAGGATGCTGCAGGTGAAGCCTTTGGGAGGCAGGTTCTGTCTAGGCCGGCTTTGCCAGCTGGTGACCCATATGGTGGCTTCCAGCCTCCCCTTTCCATGCTAGCTTGCAGTGCTGGGACACAGGGAGGAAGCAGTGCCCCTGCAGCCAGGTCTAAAGGAATAGCAGCGCTTTCTGAAGCCCCAGCACCAAGTCCTGTTGCACCTGGGGCTTTGTGAGGATCTCCCATGAGCATGGCCTGACCTTGCTCAGCCTGCCAGACCTGGTGGGTTATGAAACAAGGGCTCTTCCACTCTCCTGCATGGCCCAGGAGCAGTGCTGGAATGAGACCTGTCTCTGGGCCCTAATGCCTTGTCATCATCACTATTGGCAATGCTGGTACCTCAGTGCCTGGCTCTCTCCCTGCAGCTCCTTGTGGGCCATCTCCAAGTGGCGCATGGCCTCCCTCTGCTTTGTGTACTCATTCAGCAGCAGCTTCTGTTCTTTGCATCTCCGGATGAGCATCCAGATCATCTGGAAGGAGCAAAGGGGACACGGGCGGAGTATCAGAGGACAGGAAAGATGTGATCAGCTTTAGCTCACACAACTCAGCCCCTCCCCAAGCTCTCCTGGCCCATGCGCAGTAGGGCTGTGCAAAATGGCACCCTTCCATTTTGCTTTCAGTTTTGACGGCTTGAAGGAACAGCGTTCCATTTCAAATTTTATTTCAATTCGAAACAGCTAGGCTGACTCTCCGCACCCGCGCCCGATCGCAGCGTGTGGGGGGGCTGTGAGTGTGCCCAGCTGGGCTGACTCCGCCCCACCCCCATGCCCGCAGCACTGGGGAGGGGAACTGAGCCTGGGCTCAGTTCCCTTCCCCTGCACTGTTATTGGCGCGGGAGACAGGGAGAGCCAGGGCTGCGCTCCTGGCTGGTGCTGGGAGCGCAGCCCTGGTTCTCCCCCATCTCTCGCTGCTGGCTTCGAAACGTTTCAAAATGTTTTGACTAGCCTCGTTTTGTTTCGAGGCTGTTTCGAAGCCCTTCATTTCGATTCGATCTCACCATTTCGAGCTCAAAATTAGTCAAAACAATGTTGAATTGAAACAACCGGCAAAATTTTGCACAGCCCTAATGCTCAGCACCCTATAGCTGAGCAATGAGCCTCTGCACCCACCGGCCAGGTTCACAGCATGGTCTCCCCAGGCCCCAGCACCCTGATAGTGCCCTGGAAAGCTCCCATATGGCCACTAGGTGCAGTACCCAGAACTGGCTTCAGCTGCCTGGGCCAGTGTCCCCATTTGCTGACCACCCCCAGACAGCGGAGGAGGGGGGCTCTGACCTTCTGGTGGCTTAAGCTGTTCTTGGCCATCTCCTTCTCATTGTGCTCCAGCATCTCCAGCTGCTTCTGCATCTCAACCTGAGCCTCCTTCAGCTGCTCATTCTCCTGGAGGAGGTCATAGCTGCGGTCAGACAGCTTGGTCAGCTGGACACTGATGGCCACATTCTCCCGGATGGCGCGCTTGGTGGTCTCAGCCATCTGACTGTGGGACACCTTGCGAAACTCGGATGCCACCACATTGACGCGCTGCACCATCTCCTTCTTCAGCCTACAGGGTAAGAGGCACATACACGTATGTGCAGGGAAGGGCATCACCCCCAGCAGGGGCCCACTGTCCCCAGCAGTGCCTCAGCCCCAAAAACCAACCTATAGGGCAGCTCCCACATGCTTCCTTCCACTGCCTGGGAAAGCATGCACAGCACCCATGAGAGACCCTGGATGGGGGAGCTTGCACTCCATCCCAGGTGCCCCTGAGGGAGAACTGCCCATGTCCTACCCACCCACTCAAACAAGTTCAACCATCTGTGTACAGGGACAGCTCTACTAGATGCCCATCACCCCGCAGCTGGAAACCCACCACCTGCCAGCCCCCTGCCTCTCTCCATCCACACTGGTATTAATCTCCCTCCCCGATTTCAGATTGGGGACTGAGGCTTGGGCAGGGCAAGTGAGCTGCCTGCCAGTGGTCAGGCCAGGAGTAGAAGCCTCAGGTCCCCAGTCCAGGCTGTAACCACTGGCCCACACTCCTGCTTTCACTCTCATGGCTGCCTGCAGTGGGGAACTGTGGGTCAGGCTCTGCTGGGCTGACCTGTCCCTGTCCAGCACCATCTTCCTCTCCAGGTTGTAAGTGTACTCCTTGTGACCTTCCTCCTGCTTCTGCAGCTGCTCCTCCAGGGTCGCAAACTTGGCCATGAGCTCGTCCTTCTGGACCCTGAACTCTTCCAATGCGGCCAGTTTCCCACCTGCCAAAGAAATCACTTAGGGCCCACCATGTTTGCCTGGGCTTTCCACCCCTAGAGAGAGGAGAGAGCAAGCCAGGAGCTTCACCAAGCACAGGAATCCCCTCCCAGGGTTCTCCCCAGCACCAGAGCAGTGCTGCTTGGAGGTCCAGTGGATTATAAAGCCAGCTGCCTTTCAAGCCAGGACTCTTAAGGATGTCTGCATGCCCTGGCCTGGTGCTGCAGCAATACAGGGACGCTTGCCCTCATACTGCCCGAGCAGCACCTGCTGTGGGATCAGCACAGACAAACTCCAGCGCTGTTAACCCAGCATCTTTCACCAGAGTTGGAGCACAGACACCCACCCACCCCTGCAGCAGCAGCAAAGTTCCACCTGTCCACAGCACAGAGAGCTTCTCCTTCTGCCCCACAAACCCGCCAGTAACTAGAGCTGGTCACAACTGTTTCCTTTGTCAAGGGAGAGCTGGTTTCTCTGCTAACGAGTGTTTGCCTGGAAGGCACCAGCTCTTCCAGAAACACTAAGACCTCACAGGAGAAATCAAAATCTCTCAGGCACAGGCCAAACCAACATCACTTCACAGCAGACTCTGGCTGAAAGGTTACAAAAATGTTTCCAAGCTTTTGACTGAAAAAAAAAAAAGATAATAAAACCTGATGTTTTCAGCTGAGAACATCAAGGCACCAATAAAGGAATCGGGTTCATCCACGTTTTCCAAGGGAGGAAAAAGAGATCCCCACCCGCTGCAGCCATAGCATATTTTAAATGGCTGGTCCCTCAGCAGCCCAAACAGCCTGAACTGTGCAACCCCCAAATGTCCATCCCCCAATACCTGCAACTGAAATCTGGCTCCAGCCCCAGGTCGCCCAAGCTGTCTCTTGGGGCTACAGGAGAGGGAGCACCTTACGTTGCTCCTCTGTGGGGTTTTAATTTCAATGGGAACTCAACACTCCTCCACAGACCCTGGGAGGCAGCCAAGGGCCCTGGGTTTGAGGAGCAGTGGTGATGGAGTCTGGTCCGGTCGGGCCGCAGGGGCGAGCTGTGCACGGGCAGGGGCGACCAGGGCTATGACCTTACTTAGCAGCATGTTCTCGGACGTGAGCTGGTCCTTGGTCTCCTGGAACTCGTGCCGCACCTGGGCCAGCTGGGCCTCGAAAGCGTCTTTCTCGGCATCCTTGGCCTGCTGGAGGCCCAGCATCTGGTCGTGGAGCTCGGCGATCTCGTCCGCCCGCTGGTTCAGGGTCCTCTTGAGGAAGGCCACGATCTCCTTGTTGTCGGTGGCCATCTGCTCATTCTCCAGCCGCAGCATGTCCTCGCTGGCCTGCACCTCGTCCCATCGCTGCTGGTACCTGCCCGGGCAAGCAGCGCCGCCCTGATGTCAGGCATCGCCCGTGCTGGGTCACCTCATCCCTCCTGCTGCCCGGGGCCCATCGCCTGCCACCCCTGGCCCCAGGCCAGCGGGGCACCC